AGAACTTCAGAGGATTAGCTTACCTTCCTCATTTTACAAGGGAGGAGAAACAACCCCCCCCCCACCCCACACACACCCACCCCCCCACCCCCTGGGATGTAGTGGTTTTCACAGGGTCACAGAAGTAATCAGTGGAAAAACCAGAGCTTGCCTCACAACCACCAAGTGAGTTTAATACAAAACACTGTTAGGGGAAGAAGAGCACTTGTTCACTTCAGGGCCAGGATCAGAATGCTGACGCATCAGCATCTTCTCTTTCCTTGAGTAGGAAAGCTATTGCTGGAAGCCAAAATGGCTGCCAGGAGGATGTTGCTTCTCTATCCCTCTTTAGTAATACAAAGCAATATCTGCTTGTAGGACATTCAGTGGCTGAAAATGCTGTCACTCTTTGTTTCCCTGTATTGAAACTCTTGGTCCTTCAGAAGCCTGGAAATAGCATTTGGTCATTTTATAACTAAGAATGAAGAATTTGGCCTGGTAAAAATCCCTGGTTTGCTGTGTGTTCTAAGTAATTTTATCATTTAAGTACTGAGTAACTTTATCATTAATTGAAATAGTTAACAACAGTGCTTTTGAAAACAAAAATGCTTTTCTGCTGGGGAAATAATAAGATATTACAAACACTAAATATGGAATTTTCACAGTATCTGGAATTCTGAATTACTGAATCATTGTCTATTCTACTTTGCATAAATAAGGAAAAGTCTTCTCCTTATTCATTTCAATAAAAGCTAGTGCAGAATAGTTTATTTTAGGAGACTGGTTTGCTTCTGGCTGGTTTTAAGACATTATGGACATTGGAGAGTACAATACCGAAAGAAGCTAAGGTGGTTCAGAAGGAATTATTGAGACCTGCTTCATTTTTTTTCCTTACAGTGCTGGGTGTGGGACTATGTCCACCAGGTTCTTCACTCTGTAGAACTTTTAGTTTAAGAAGAGTAATGATGCCATTAGTGGATGTCAGATGCCCGAGTGAGCAGTGAGAACACTGGGATGAATGCTTGAATTATTTTCCTGGAGAATTCAAAATGAAGGAGTTTGGATCTGGTGTCACTATCATTACTTCGTATGTCTGTACTTGGGGCCATATTGAGTACTTGGGGCTATACAGAGATGCCCCCCAAGAACTTGAAAATAAGGGAAATGGGTTTGCTTTGTTATTTCTTTGTAAGCTCAACTCATGGGAGGAACAGAGCCACCTGCAAGAGAGGCAGATCTGTTCCTATGTGTGCAGGGTTTGATGGTCAAATCCCATTGCCAGATTAAATGTGAGTTGCAGGTTGGAGATGGATATGGTCAGGAAAAGGGTGAGTCAGGGAGTTAAACACTGGTAGCACTCTTCTCAGCTTTGTGGAAGGAAAAAGAACTGCGTCAAACAGATTTTCAGTATCATGGCCCCATTGCCAAGGTATCCCAACAGACTCTGAAAATTTTGGTTCTACAGGTGCATCTACCCCTGTTGTGGAATTGGGTCCATCAGGCTGTGCAAGCCCGATGCTGTTAGACTTGTCATCTCCCAGTGGGTTAATTCATCATATGTTGAAGGAGTGTAGATTAATGTGTTACCCATATGTCCAGAACCAACCTGCTTGTTTCTACAATGTAAGATAAGAGTTCACCGAAGGGTCTAATTAGAATAGTTAACAAACTTCCACATTCCAAATTAGTAAGAATGCCAGTCTTTTTCCCAGATACTTTCATGGATTATTCCTGAGGACCTGTGAGGCTAGGTGCATTCACTCAGATATTCCTGAGGTTGCTGTGCCTGCTCACTTCTAGCTCACTGCCTACCGCTAGGAATAAATAGCCATTTGGGGGCATACACCAGGTGGTACCTGCAACATATAGCCTTCAGCATCCTGGGAGTGGGCCTCAGGTGCCTGCAGGGTCTCTTTGTTACTGCTAATGGGGGAGCTGAGCTCCCTGGAGTCCTGAGGGAGACAGGGCAGGGCTGACTACCAGCTCCCACTGGCTGAGTGCCTGGCTCCCAGCTTTTGGTGCAGATCTCCCTCCCTCCTCCAGTATCAGACCTGCTCAGGGCATCCCACTGCCTGAGCTCCGAAGATTCTGCTCCATGTGCTCAGCTTCACCTGCACTATCTTTCTAAGGCTTTTTTCTGTAGTGCCTGAATGAAGCAGGCTTGTGGCATCTGCAATATTCAGTGCTTAGAACCATCCAGCCCCCCTACTGGATGAGAAGAGGTCACCAGTCTAGACATCCCCCCACTCCGATTTTGGTGAGTTTTTTCTTTAGAGGTCCCTTATGTTCAGACCTTGGTTAGGGCCCTACTGGTCCATTAGAATTGTTTTAATTACTCTCCCATTTAAGGGAAGGGGTTGATTCCAATCCCTTTGTCCCAGAGATTCTTTTGCTTCATAGATATTCTTGACTATAAATTAATATGTGAGGGGGAGATGTGATGTCCAGTGCCATCTGGCAGCATTTGAGACCCCAATATAAATGGCTATGGAGTGACACCTAACTCTTCAGCTAAGAACATCCAAGGACCATGCCCTCAAAAGTCCCGCTACATAAAGTAAATACAATCTGAGGGCTTCAGAGCAGAGAACTGGTTTTTCCTGAGGATCTCTGTCCAGTTGAGGTGCCAGAAATAGGACATTATGATTTTTGTGCTGTCATTAAGGAAAATCTCATAAAAGATTTTTAAGAAATTTTTTAAAAATTTATTTCCCTCTGGGCGCCTGGGTGGCTCAGTTGGTTAAGCGACTGCCTTCGGCTCAGGTCATGATCCTGGAGTCCCGGGATCGAGTCCCGCATCGGGCTCCCTGCTCAGCGGGGGGTCTGCTTCTCCCTCTGACCCTCCTCCCTCTCATGCTCTGTCTCTCGTTCTCTCTCGCAAATAAATAAAATCTTTTAAAAAAAATTTATTTCCCTCTATTTAATGTTCCATATCTTAGTCCGTTCAGGCTGCTGTAACAATACCATGGACTGGGTGGCTTATGAACAACAGAACTGTACTACTCACAGTTCTGGAGCCTGGGAGGTCCAAGATCAAGACACCAGCAGCGTCACTGTCTGGTGAGGGCTCACTTCCTGGTTATTGATCATCTTCTCAATGTGTCCTCACATGGGGAAAGGGACAAGGGATCTCTCTAGGTCTCTTTTGTGAGGACACTAGTCCCATTTATGAGGGCTCCACCTTCATGACCTGATCACCTTCCAAATGCCCTATCTCCTAATACCACCAATTTGGGGATTACATGTTTACATATGAATTTTGGGAAGACACAAACATCCAATCTATAGCAATCCATAGATAAAATTTTGATTATATAAAACTAGGGGGGAAGTTTGTATCTAAAACATGGTGTAGTGAAAGATAACTATTCACCATGTGACCATAAGCAAAGCTGCTAATGTATCTAAAACTGTAAAATGGATATGATGGTACTTAATTTGGAGCCATGTGGCCTTCAGAGTGACCATTCTCACTCTGCGCCTCTCTACTTGGAAAGCTTTCAGTGGCTTGCTGCCAACCAGAGGATGCCTTCCAGACTTCTGCACAAGTGTGAGAGGTCTTCCAAGATTTGGCCTGTGTGCTTTTCAGCACATCTCACCTGTCTTTACCTTGCCCTTTGTTGCCCCCTGTGAATTCCCCTGCACACACTACACTGGTCCCCGTACTCATGTTGCCCACCTTTGTAGAAAGCCTAAATGATTTTCTGGTTTCATATAGCAACAAAACCCCACAGACAAGCTTTCCTTGTACAGTTTGATACCAGCATTTGGCTGTCATTAGTATCCTTATCAATGGGTGGAGAAAAATGTACTTGCCCTCAGTTGGGGGGGGGGGAGGACGGAGGGCCAAATAACCACTCCTTTGTCATTTGATATTTATTCAGCAAATATTTATTGAGTACCTGCTGTTTGTTGGTACTGGTGTTAGGAAGATGAGTAACCCAGCATCTATGGCCTCAGGGAGTTCCCATTCTGGTAGGGAGAGACAGACTCATAAGCAGGCAGTAACAAAACCTTCTGATAAGTGTTTTGCAGGGGAGAAAGGGGAGTGCAGAGGCCTGTGGGAATACAGAGAAGGATCACTGACTTAGCATTGTAGAATACTTCAGAAGAAATGTTCAATAGGTCAGCAGATTTTATGGGAAGAGTTGGCTTGGCTAGATAAAGAAGAAAAGAAAAATGGCTATCTAATATAGAGTACTGTTGATAGCCCTTTCTAGGAAAGGGGTAAGGACTGATTTAATCTAGTCTCATTTAATTCTCACTAGACAGTAAAATAAGCAGTTTACATTTTTTTCCCATTCTTCTGGAACTTGTGTTTTTAAAAAGTGTTGTCAATATGGTGACAAGATGTTACCCCATTGAAATTGGCAGAATCTGTTGCATTCTTAGAATGATCCTGAGATGACTTGAAATGGTCTCAAGAAATTTAAAACTCAGTTGTCATTATTTAAAACTCATAAATTGCCATTAGTGGAAAGATTAAGATTATCACAGTGAGTTGTGGTCATACCACAGCATGGTGGTTGCCTATTTAAACCTTAATGGGTATCTTTCTTTCTGTCTTCACCAAAAAGAAAAAAAAAAAATGAAACATCAGAAAGGTATTAAATGTGTATACTTATGTTTTAAAAATATATTTTAAATTACCCCTCTCTTAGTTTTGTCTAAAACTGTAATGGAAACTAGTTTAAAATTTTTTGTTACTTTCAGATGTATTCTTACATAATGGAAAGAAGTTGAACATTTATGGGGGAACTATGAAATATTGCAAAATGATGTTACTGTTTTTGAAACGGTCAGTTTTTACATGACTATTAAATGCTGCCTTTCAAATTTAGTAGAAATAGGAGATGTGGGGATTTTCCTTCTTTTACTATAAAAGAAGCAAGAACATCAATCAGGTGGAAGCATGCAGCTTTTAACATAATTTAGAATCCCAAGTAGTTATGAAGTATGTTTTTGTCTGGATACTAAAGTGAAAGATTTCTTACTGAATAAGAAGACTCTCTCTCTTTAAGGTTATGAGAAGACCGATGATGTCTCAGAGAAGACTTCACTGGCTGACCAGGAGGAAGTACGGACTATATTCATCAACCAGCCCCAGCTGACAAAATTCTGCAATAATCATGTCAGGTAGGACCTACCAAAGATCTCTGCGGGACCACCTATCACAGCGGAACCTAATAGGCCATCTCCCCTCTCTGGCCAAAACAAAAATGCTTACAGAGAGCTTTCAGTTAAATCAGTTACTATTTGAAAGCTCACTGGAGGCAGTATGAATCGGCTCTTTTCTCCATCTTCTGGCCAATAAAGAGATGGGAATAAGAATCTGGAAGTTGGAAGGAGCAGAAAGGATAAATAGCCATACTCTCCCAATTATATTTATAGTGTCTGGATAGTGAAAGCTGCTTATGGATACATACCTTTGTCTCAAACCTGTTAATAGAGGGATGAATTATTGTTTTTGGCCAACAAGTTTTAACATTTTAGAAGAGGTCTTTGCAGTTCTTCACCAAGAACTCCTTTTTGTTACATAGTCTTTAAATATTGGCGTTTGATAGTTGTAAAATTTAGTATGGTGTTGAGGAATGGAGGGCTGTGAGAATTACTTCACCGTTACATTTTCCTTCCAACAATAGTATAAAAAGTATCACTCTTGTAAGCACTGTTCACTAAGTGGCCTCTGGAATGGAGTGAACATGAACACTCCCTTACCCCTTATGCTAGCCCAGTGTTTCTCCTGTGGCAAAATTCCTGGACTTGAGAAATGCCCATTTACAATTCATATTTACAACTTCACATTCTAGAGTAACTTTCTCAGTTTGGGGAATGTGGTATGCATTCCTGTAATCTCCTATTTTTTTAATTTTTAAAAGATTTTATTGTGGAAAGCATTAAACATAAAAGTAAATAGCACAACGAACTCCCTTGTACGCATCATCCAGCTTCACAATTATCAAGTCATGTAATCTTCTTTCTATTTAAATAAAAGAAGATTGGATGTTTTCAAGACCTAAGTGTTGATATCTTACTGATTGCAGACATAGCTGGTATGTTCAGTGTGGAGTCCTAGCCAAGTTCCTAGAGGGACTACGGAGAAAATTTGAACAGAACCCTAGAAAACTTCCCATTTTTCTGAAATTATCCTATGTAGGCATCTCTGTTTAATGTTCCTGGTCTTGCTCAAATTTGATTTTTTTTGTAAGATTTTTTTATTGATGCACCATCATTGATTTGTAAGCTACTCCTAGTGTGTTAAAAAAAAGGATGGTTGGCCAAAGAGAACAAAAGATATTGTGAAGAAAATTAGACTCTTACTATATAATTCGACAGTTCCTTTCACTCATATTCATTTAGGTTAATGACCATTTGCAATATTCTCCCAATTTGAAACAGAGGGCAAATGTTCATCTAATTTTTTATGCGATGATAATAGAATTTTATAAGTGTGGGTGCTAATTATGGAGTAATTAAGTTTTATGCTACTTTTCATTTTGTTTTCTAGCACTGCAAAATACAACATAATCACATTCCTTCCAAGATTTCTCTACTCTCAGTTCAGAAGAGCTGCTAACTCATTTTTTCTCTTTATTGCACTGCTTCAGGTAAAGTCACATCATAAAACTTCAGTTCAAAGTCAAATGTTCAGATACTAATAAATGTTTTTGTTAAACCCATGACCAGTCTTCCAAAGCTTTAGCTAAACACAGAGAGACAAGTTGGTTTGGGTGGACATTTCCAGTTCCTGCCACAAGCAATGTCAGAATTCCAGAATGAATTTGATTCATTTTTATTAGCTTATTTTAAACATTCTGTCAATTTGATATGGCAGGGATGAAATTTAATGGTAAGGGGGGGATGGAACTTTTTCTTCAAATATTAATTAAATATTAATTTATTTTAGTAACAGTAACAGTCAATTCTGAACCTTATAAGAATTTCCATTTTATTTTTTTTCTGTTAAGAATTTCCATTTTAAAACTTGTTTCTTTTTTGTATTTGAGTTAGTAGTAATCGGGAAAAAAAAAGTTTCATTTTATTAAAAAACATACATTCATTGTAAAAATAATTAGAGAAAAAAATTGAAGAAATAAAGAAAAAAATAGTAAAACTCTCACTTTTCCACCACTAAGAGGCAACTGCTCTTAACATCGGGGTGTATATCTTCCTCATCTTTCCCCTCCCATGTATTGTTTATTGATTTAGCTTACAAAAAGAAGATCGTAGAACACGTATGTTTTATATTCTGCTTTAACCATGTGATAATGTGTGGATATTTTCCCATGTGTTTCGGTGTGTCTTTAGAATATCATTTTTAATGATTATATGATATTTAACTAACTCCCCTTTGTAGGTGTTAGTCTCACACACACAACAGCTTGTCATGAAGCCAGCTCACATGCTCTTCTAGCCACTTCCTAGACAGGAGCAAACTGCCTCACTCAGTGTTAGTCTGCCGCAGTAGTAAAATCACTGAAGAGTATTTTAAGAGGCACTAAGACTTGGTTGTTTTTAAACATATTATAAACTTGCTAGTTCTCACTGGATTTTTTTTTTTCCCCCAAATAGCAAATACCTGATGTATCACCAACAGGTCGCTATACAACACTGGTTCCTCTCTTATTTATTTTAGCTGTGGCAGCTATCAAAGAGATCATAGAAGATATTGTAAGTACTTAATTTTTTTCATAAATAAATGTGCCTTATTTTATATGCATATTTTAAAATATTAGTTTCTCTTTAATTCTTGACACAGGCTGTTTAAAATGCCCATTCAACTTAAAAACATGTAGAATATGCTCTGGAGTCCACTGTTCTTAGTTTCTACAGGATTACTGTTACAGAATGCTTGGCAGAGTGTTCTCTGCATTTGTAGTTTAGTAGTGAAAGAAATTAAATGCGATAATTGGCTTGGAGAGAAAACTATATTTGAACATTATGCCCAATGTTCCATTTGAACATTATTTCAAGTTAAACACAGTAGCCTCCAAATTATCTCAGTGTAAAGGGTCTTTTAATGTATGTTTTATGTTTAAGTCATATGCGTGGTTTTCACTTTATTAAATACCGTTGATTCCTTTTCATCTTTAGTAGTTTTAAGCTTCCTTTTATTTTATTGAAAGAAAGTAGTATTAATCTGTAGTAGCTGAGAAAAGGGGAAGTCAATTTCCTGTTCATAAAATAAGTTCCCCAAAATAAAATCAGACTTTTCTTTTTCTTCTTCTACCATTATTTTAACTACCTTAGTTGAGGAAGCCAATTTTTTTTTTCCTTTGCTCTTTAAATACTTGGCCTATATGAGATGACCTTCTGTCGAGCCTTAGGCAAGTCAGATGGTAAGGCGAGGAAGGCCTGAGAAATTCTTTAGGAAGCTCCAATTTAAAGTTGCACAAACATTTATATTATTTCTGTAGAGAATCAAATTGAAACGGGTCAAGTGTCCATTTAGATCATCAGTCCCAAAAACATCCAAGTGTCTAAGAATACAGACAGAGGTTTTATGTCTGTGTGCGTGTGTGTAAAACATCACAGTCCTCTTGATTGGAAATGACATGCTTGATGGGGACCACAAGCTGAAAATTTAAGGGACTCTCTTTTTACCTATATTGTTCCACATAGACTCACCATCCTTTAAATTGTACTTGGATCGAGCAATCCATAAGGATCGGTCTTTACTGTAATTGGTCTCTTTGTTTGCCTTATGTACTCCCTTTTCTTTCTTTGACATAGTTTTGATGAAGCATATATTATTTACTAGACATTGTGCTATTGTTTTTGCAAATGCTTTTCCCATTTAATTTCTTCAATAACTTTACGAGTTGGATATTAATCCCATTTTAAAGGTAAGGAAGCTCGGGCTTAGAGAGATCATGAAACTTGTCCAAGAAATGGTTGGGATCAGATTCCTTCTCATCCAGCTCTTGTTCTGTTTTTGTGGCAAGTCACCAACAATAGTATTCATCACATCTATTGAGTTTCTGGGATCCATGTACTTGTTTTATATCCTTTACATTTATTAAGTCTTATAGCCACTCTCTAAAGGATTACTGGTATTATCCCCATTTTACAGATAAGGGAGAGGAGGCACAGAGGATCAAGGTAACTTGCCCAGGGTCACACAGTTAATAACTGGGGCTGTGAGAATTCAAAACAAGGCAGTTTGGTTCCAGAGCTCCATGTTATTATCACTGCTCTAAGCTGCCTGTCCTTTTTTCTTTTTCCCTAACAATACTATAAGCTCTCTAGCTATGGTTTTTAGTACCCCTCTCTATGAAAATAAATGGTAAATAAAATATCCAAGAGGGTTTTTTTTTGTTTGTTGGTTTGTTTTTTGTAACAGAACTCTTATTGGCACAATGTAATAATTGGGTACTCCTAGAAAACAGCTTATCAGGTACTTCCTGGAGGATGTAGTAATAGTTGGGTGGGGTGATAGTATTATGTGGAGTACTTTTCCAATAAAATCATTGTTAAGAAATTGACAAAATAGGTTAAGAATTGTTTAACAAGACATTTGTATCAACTTATAGGTGATAGAAAGTTTGAAAAATTACTCCCTAGAAAAGGAAAAAAGTCAAATAGTTTAGATGATTGCCCAAAGAGTATCTTTATCAGTAATTATAATGAATACATGTATTGACCCATTCATTCATCAAAATATATGAAGCAGTACTTAGGTGCCAAGAATTCACTAGGATAGGTATTAGGATGTGTTCAACTTTTGCTGCAGTAATAATCATGTCCCAAATGTCAGTGGCTTAAACCTAAGTTTATTTTTCACATTTTTCACATTTTCAAAGACACTGCAGGTTTTTATCTGGGAGGAAGGGTGGGCAGCAGGCCCCATTGCTCATGTAGTCACTCAGGGATGCAGCTGAATTGAGAGTCTGTTATGTGGAATAGTGGTGGTCACCAGAGCAGAAGAAGGAGAGAATGGAGGTCTAGAAATTTGTGGTCCAGAAATGGAGCACATCACCTCTGCTTACAGTCTAATATTAGAACTAGTGACAAGACAAGAAGGAAGTTAATCTCGGTGTCCACGAAAAGAGAAGAAAATGAGATATTGGTGAAGACTAGTTATGTCTCCCACTCTTATGTCAGTGAATAAAACACAGCTTATCTTCCAGTAAGCCTTCTTTCATATTCTGTTGAACATTTACAATAAAACAGTAAGAATTCCCTCCAGGGGAGACACCTAAGACTTACCTCCACCCAGTGCATTCTAACTCTTGATGGTTTGCATAGCTTAACATAATACGATTTCTTGTTTTTAATGTGCAAGTAGCAAATGACATAAACACTTACTTGAAAATACTCTAAAATTGGTGGAGAACTTTTAGTTTAAAAAAAAAAAAAACTGCATCTTGTCAGATGCCAACTCTTATGGTAAGGGTCAAGATCGGTTGTTAAATTGATAATATTCACCATGAAAAACATGCCTTCTTTGCTATACATGTGTTAACTTAAACTCTGATAAACTTAATTCGTTAAAAAAAAAAAAAAGGATAATTTTTTAAAGTCCACAGTGTTCAGAGACCAAATACGAGGAAGACGTTAGTGAGTAAAAGGAGCCAGTTTAGAGCTTGCAGTCCAGTAGAAGAGACAGACATTAATCAAGTAACCACACCAGCTATTTTGCCTTTTGGCTAAGAATTAAATGATGCACTGAAGTCCTTAGAATAGTACCTAGTTCTAGTAAGTGATGAATAAATGTTAACTGTACTATCATCATCCAAATATCTTTTTGACTAAAATATAGAAAATGGATTGGAAGGAAACAGGATTTGCATACACTAGTTAGAAAAATATTCTAGGGGCACGTGGGTGGCTCAGATGGTTGGGCGTCTGCCTTCAGCTCGGGTCGTGGTCCTGGGATCGAGTCCCACATCGGGCTCCTGGCTCAGCGGGGAGTCTGCTTCTCCCTCTCCCTCTGCCTCTCCCCCTGCTCATTCTCTCTCTCTCTGTCTCTGTGTCTCAAATGAATAAATAAAATCTTTAAAAAAAAAAAAAGGAGAAGAAAAAGAAGAATATTCTAGTAGCTGGTATAAAAAAAAAAATGAAGAGATCTTAGACCAGGTGGCACTGCAGATAAAGCAATATAGAGAAATGAATTCAATATCTTTTTAGGAGTAGAATTGATAAGACTTTTCACCATCCAACCTGCTACATGCCCTACTTATTTTGTTTACATTCTCTCTCCGACCACTAGAATGTAAGCTCCATAAAGAACAAGAGTTTTGTCTCTTGTTCATTGTTGTATCCTCACCAATAGTAACAGGGCCTGGCTCATGGTGTTTTGTAAATATTATTGAATGAAGAAGGATTGGATGGAAGTGAGAGGGAGAAGAAGATGCTAAGGATGACTCTCAAGTTCCTGGTTTGTGCAAGTGGATGGTGTATGGTTCCATGTCTGAGAACAAGGACCAAGGCTTGGGGGTTAACGTCCTAGATTGCCTTGTGGACACAGCAGGAGATGCCTCTGAGACTGCCAGAGGGAGATGTCAAGGAGGCTACTGGATATAACTGTCTGGAGCTCAGATGAGAGTCTTGGCTAGTATATATTTATGTATCAGTTACAAGTGAAACTGCAGGTATGGATGAGCTGAGCTGGGAAGAGAGTATAGAGTAAGAAGCGAAGAGGCCCAGGGAGTAAGCCTTGAGGAATTCCATCACTGTAGCACAAGATAGGAGATGAAGAAGGGACCAAGGTACAGGTGGAACACCTGGGCAATGATAAGATAAGAAACACTTAGGAAGGGTTCCCAGGAGGGAGTGGTCCACATTACATACTTGAGTATTCTAAAGTTCATGGTACTATTTATACGGTACAGTTTATTGATACACTGTCAGTTAAATATTGATAATATTAAGTAATTCACTAGCCCTCAGTGATATGAAATGAATTCTCACTATAGGACAGTGGAGGTATTTGAACTCATGGAATAGCTGTATTAATGTTTTCTGAAGTGTTTGTTTTAGAAGGAATAAAAATCTGTTTGGGATCCAGAGATGCTTTTCTCTTTTTTTTTTTTTTTTTTATGGTTTTAAGATTAGAATCTACCTATCTGGATAGATCCTTATGTATATTCCACACAATTGTTTCTTGACAAGCAACCGAATTTATTCTGTGGTGGGAAGACTGAGGAAAGAGCTGTACAAGAATTCTCCTATACAGGAATTCTCTGTAGATGGAAAATAATGTTCAGGATCTCCTTAGGTCTCACTAAGATTAAATTTCCTGTTTAAGTAGAATGTTTCATTAATTAGCTTTTATTTGTCTCCTTCAGTTGGAAGTCTAACTATTGTCTGTCATAGATATCCATTGTTTTGGAAATATTTGCACCTCCTTCATATATCTAAATTTGTTTTGGACCATTACTTTGAACCCAAATTTATTTTGGGCTACTTTCTAATTTTCTTAAGATCTTTATGAACAATAAAAAACAGTAAGTATTTGAGAGTTTCATCAATTATAAAATATTCTCTACTGATGCTACAAGTTTAAACTTTAAAAATGTATTAAGAACATCTGGTAAATCATAAGCTTACTTTTGGAAGCAATAGTTTGCCTAATGAAAGTCTACATTTTTACCGTTTTATTAGTGTTTTGCTCTGAGAAAGAATTGTAATGTGTTCCTGTTTATAGATGTGGCAAGAATTATTTTCTACAAGCCTTCCACAGAGGCGTTTTGAATGCTCTCTTTGCATTTTGTGCAGTTCAGTGGCTGATTGTTTGTGAGAACTGCGTTCCCGCTGCCAGCTATTAGGACACTCCTGAGTGTTGCTGTTTTGGGAGGAGTGCTAATCCACAACTCTGACATTTTCTCTCGGAGAGTATGGTCATATTTGCACTGTGATTCTAAAAACCGTATTTCTCTCAAATGGAAAAATTAGGAACTCCTTTGTTTCACATTCATTCCAACCCACCTTATAGTCAGGTCTCTGCAGCTAAATCTGACCTTGAGCTTTAATGATAGAATTTTTGAGCTCAGAGTTAGTTATACTCATCACTTTTCTACAAAAGTCAGCAGGCTGATGTGTTACACTTGATGCTGTAAGTTTAGACGGAAGCCATGGAAAACCTCTAGTTGAACCGTAGACAAGATAGCTTCCCCTGGCCACTCAAATTCTCACCTTTCCTCTGACCTTTCGTTTCTTCTACTCTCTGCTCTAAAACTTCGGCTTATGTGACTCTTCATACTCACCCACCTAGACTCAGGCTAACTCACCTGTTTAGCATCTAATTTTTTTGGTGCTTTTGGTAGGAAGGAGAATAGGATCATGTGATTCAGTGGTTCATGATGTGGAGAAGGGACCATTGAGAAGCAGTGGATGCAAGAGGCTTTACGCACATGGTATATGTGTTTGGTTCTAGTCATTGACAGACATCAATATGTCATTAAATTATGGAGGATGACTCACAAAGATAAACTCAAAGTGGATGAAAGACCTCAATGTGAGACAGGAATCCATCAAAATCCTAGAGGAGAACATAGGCAGTAACCTCTTTGACATCGGCCACAGCAACTTCTTTCAAGATACATCTCCAAAAGCTAGTGAAACAAAAGCAAAAATGAACTTTTGGGACTTCATCAAGATAAAAAGCTTCTGCACAGCAAAGGAAACAGTCAACAAAACAAAGAGGCAACCCACAGAATGGGAGAAGATATTTGCAAATGACACTACAGATAAAGGGCTGGTATCCAAGATCTATAAAGAACTTCTCAAACTCAACACCCAAAAAACAAATAATCAAGTCAAAAAGTGGGCAGAAGAGATGAACAGACACTTCTCTGAAGAAGACATGCAAATGGCTAACAGACACATGAAAAAATGTTCATCATCATTAGCCATCAGGGAAATCCAAATCAAAACCACACTGAGATACCACCTTACACCAGTTAGAATGGCCAAAATGGACAGGGAAAGAAACAACAAATGTTGGAGAGGTTGTGGAGAAAGGGGAATCCTCTTACACTGTTGGTGGGAATGCAAGTTGGTACAGCCACTTTGGAAAACAGTGTGGAGGTTCCTCAAAAATTTAAAAATAGAGCTACCCTATGACCCAGCAATTGCACTACTGGGTATTTACCCCAAAGACACAGATGTAGTGAAAAGGGAAGGGTCATATGCACCCCAATGTTCATAGCAGCAATGTCCGCAATAGCCAAACTGTGGAAAGAGCCGAGATGCCCTTCAACAGATGAATGGATAAAGAAGATGTGGTCCATATATACAATGGAATATTACTCAGCCATCAGAAAAGATGAATACCCAACTTCTACATCAACATGGATGGGACTGGAGGAGATTATGCTAAGTGAAATAAGTCAAGCAGAGAAAGTCAATTATCATATGGTTTCACTTATTTGTGGAACATAAGGAATAACATGGAGGACATTAGGAGAAGGAAGGGAAAAATGGGTGGGGGGAATTGGAGGGAGAGATGAACCATGAGGGACTATGGACCTGAGAAACAAACAGGGTTCTAGAGGGGAGGGGGGAGGGGGGATTGATTAGCCCGGTGATGGGTATTAAGGAGGGCACGTACTGCATGGAGCACTGGGTGTTATACGAAAACAATGGATCGTGGATCACTACATCAAAAACTAATGATGTATTGTATGGTGACTAACATAATATAATAAAAACTACAAAAAAATGTTCATAAATAAAATATTTACAAATGCAAAAAAAAAGAAGAAAAAAAAATTATGGAGGATGTACTCAGCCTAATTAGATAATGAATTTCATAAGAAGCTGAAAATATTTCAGTACCACTATTAAATGGTAGTTTTTACAGATAATTCTCTTGGGCATCTTCTTTTTTAAGTGAGTTATTTAAGCAAAAAGCTAAATCAGCCTTTTCCATTACATTAAAATTTTAATCTTACCTGTGTAATAATATATGATCCTTCTGAGGACTGCACAGCTGTGCTCCCAGAAGAGGAGTATTGTTTGAAGATGCTATAGATTGTGCTTTCAATTTTAAAATTCCCACCTACCCTCCGATTCTTCTTATCACCACACTCCGGCATGCTTATAAAATTGATATAGGGTATAAAAGGATAAAAGCCTTGGGAAACATAAGTTGAAAGAAATCTTTCTTGTTGTAGATGCTACTTTGTTTTGTTAATCTCATCCATTTTTTCACAGTTCTTGTTTTTGCTTTTAAACTTTAGAAACGACATAAAGCTGATAATGCAGTGAACAAGAAACAGACACAAGGTAGGATTTTTACATTTTATTTCTCATATCTATCAAATATACTCATAGTAATATATACAAATCACTTCAATTAAATGTAATTCAATTGAAATACTGTGTATCTCTTAAGTTCTTGTTCCAGAGTAAACTTTTTTTTTTTGTAGCATTTATTAGCATGGACACTTAAATTCACATTAGAATGATTTACAGTGGTAATACTTTTGAAAGATAACATTTTTAATACATTTAAATACCTCATAGCAATGTATTCTGAAATACTGTTCATGAAATCAGCAGTTGTTTAGACATGTTAAATGCTGCAAGATGTCGTATTTTGTTGGTGATCAATAGATGTTACTCTAGGTAAGATTTATAGAAAACAATCAGATGTGATGTTACTTGTTAAAAGGCATGTTGGAAGCACTTTGTGTTCTACTGTACACACAGATGATATATGTCCAGAAATAAATAAAACAAAAACCAGGCCAGCTTCTGGGAAGCATGTGGCATTTTGACATGGCTCTTTTGTTGTGGGTCTTTTTTTGACACAGCAAAAACCAAAACGACCTTTAGCACAAGACCATAAATAGACCATAATGCTTCTTAGATTAAAAAAAAAAAAATACCCAGGAACATGTGAAATAGACATCTTATCCCATCCCTGAGCTTGCCCCATCTGGGAATCTCATCTCTCTCTGAAGTTCCCTGATGTGATAAGGATCAGCCATATCTGCCAAAATTAGCTGGTAATTAAAAACAGTATTTTTATACTGCTGTGATTTTTATGGGACCCTGCCAGATACCCTGCTTTTCTTCCAAAGGGATCATCTGCTTATGCCCTCCACTGAAAGGATTATCTGCTGATTTTTGATACATTTGAGGAAGGTGCATTTATTAAAGTATCACTTAATAAATTAACAAAATATTTACTGAGATAACATTATTTATTATGGGACATGTGAGAAAGCATAAGATGGGAACTATATAAAAGCACAACGGCAAGATATGATCTTGTATGGATCAAAATGAAAGGTTTGGATTACATGGTCTCAATGTCTCTCTAGATTTTTGTGGCAAATAATGGTTCCTATGTTAAGTCCTACATGGATTTAAAAGAAGGAGAGAAAACTGTGGGGTAATTTGAGGTCGATCTATAATCTTAGGGAACACTTTGAATGAGCAGAGGTGTCCAAATGGGAAGACCTTACATGTGTGTTGAGTGAGAAAGAGGGAAGAGAGGTTATCTTGAACAGAGATGAAGAAGGCTGCTGGATTGCCTTGTTGAACCATTACCAGAGTGTCAGATGAAGAAAAGAGATTCATGTCAAAGGGAAGCAAACACATGATTAAAAAGGAATGCCAAGGTCAAATTTTCCAGGGCTTGCATGCCAACCCAAGGAGATTCCAACTTTTCTTGAGTATACTGAATAGCTGTTGAAGGTTTACAAGCCAAAAAGAGACAGGTTGACCATCCAGATTAAAGTTGGAGAACAGAGTGGAATGGAGTAAGAGGTTATAAGTAGCCTGGGGACAAAGGAACTAGGAATTTGGATGGGATGAGACAACCATAGGAATTGAAAGGAGAAAAAATCCAGATGTTACTGGTACTGCTGTTTTGGACAATATGCAAAAATACATTTGCATTTGTTGCTGTGTGGCTTAGAATATTCAGTAACAGCTTTTGAACTAAAAATACGTAACTGTTTTTCCAATACATAATGTATCTTGTAGCTATCTTGCAAGGGCTATCTTCAGGGACTAGCAGTTATTTATCTTCAAGCCTTGGCCCAAGAAATCAATATTGTATGATTGAAGAGCAACCATCATAAGCTATGATGATTTTAGGCTACTATACCTTGTACTGATCGGTTCTCCAATTTTCCAGGAACTTACCTACTTCCCCAAATACTCACTTTTCTCTCCTTTTTAGAGAAAATATTCTTTCTTGGTTATCATTCTCGGTTCATCAGTTAATCCTGGATTAACAGGATTAGCTCTATGGCTAAAAATGAAGAACAGGCAAGTGAGAGGGAAAGCTTCTATAGTATATAAAACTCATGTCAAAAATAAAACGTTAGGGCTTAATAGCTATAAAAGCCATTTAAATCAGCAGAAAGCTTGAGAATTCTATATCCAAGAAATTCTGACTTTTAGTTTGATACTTAAGTTTATTTTCTGAGGGAATAGTATTTTTTTCTTTGCCTCGTTGAATGTTGGTTGTCTTTTTGTTTTGCAGTTAATAGGAGATAACAGAAATGTTTGAGTAGGATACTGTTTGCTGTCAGATAACTGAAATTGCTTAATATGAAAGCCATCTGTTGTCAGTAGACCAGAATGAAATTCAATTTGCTTTCCTGAATTGAGGCAAGAATGGGTGTAGGAGTGGGAAGGGGGGTATTTTTGACAGATAATTTTTTGGCAGGCATTTGAAGTATTTAACTTAAATTTTCATTTTATAAATGTTTACCAAGACCATGTAATATGTGAGAGGATACCTTTCTGTCAGATTCAAATATTAATCCTCTCTCCTTACAGAAATGAGTGTTTTGTCTCCTTATTTTACATCGAAGCACTAGAGTGACTTTTTTCTGTCATTCTCTAATGACTTCAAAAATATAAATTCATAATTTCATTTACAATGTTTTCATCCATTTGACTGTAGACTATCTGATGCCTCATTTTCATGAACTAATGAATCCAATCCAGATGAAGTGATAGATTTGGGACTTAACTCATGACTTCATAAACTTTACATTTTGAGCCTATCACCAATACTTATGGGAACAAGCCATTTCTTGTCCTAGAGATATAGAAGTTGCTTAGGTAGATGGGTCAGTGGGCTGGCAAATGTAAAATTGTAGGTTGCTCTCTGAGGACCTACCTGCTGAGGGAGAGCAGAGTAAATTGATGGTCAGAAGTCCAGGGAGTATGAGTGAGTCCTTGAGTATTGTGGTTCACTCCTCCCAATGAATTGTGATTGCTTCTCTGGGCTCCCATGTTTTTCTCATATGATGGTTTGCGTGCACTAGGTAGGTGATTCCTCATACTCATCTTGGTATTCCCCAAATCTCTTAGCCCAGACGCCTGTATGGGTGAATGAATCACTCTCCATATAGATACTTGAGTACAGACAAAAAAGCAAGAAGAGACTAGAAATGAAAGGAGACTTTTTGAAAATTCATCATCTGCGATGTAAACAAGACGAAAGGCAGTGTTTTCACAATACTGTATCTGAGACTGTTTTGCAAGCACTGATAAAATGCTAATGTGATGGAAGCTTTTGCTGTCTCTTTACCTTCTCTGTTGAAGTCATCATATCATCACTTTGCCTCCTATGAACACGGTACTGTGTCCACTTATCACTTCCATTACCCAAAGCTCCAGAGCACTGCCAAATTCAGAATGCCCTGGTTTTCTTTGCATCTAAACTTACCTTCATGTTCTCTGATTTCTTCCTCAATATTTGAACTCAGAGTATTTGATATATCTCTCTCCATGTTTCTACACACACACTAGGGGCAGTCTCTCCCTGTTCTCCCTCATCTGGGTTGTTTTGCCAAATTTATCTCTGCAGGAATTTGTAAATTGTAAATTCATTATTATCATTGTAATATGTAAATTGAAGATAATCTCTGTCTGAATCTATGATAGTGGTTGAGCAGTTCTCTTTTTAAATTATAAATATATATTTATATTTTTTTCATGAAGTGTGCTATTATGGCTAGTGTGCCAATATTTCAAGTGGAATGGTAGTTTCACATAAAATCACAATGCAGAGGCCTGGGAAAAGATGGGGCTCAGGTGCAGACTATAAAAGATATTGAGGATCTTAAAAATTAAAGTTAAAAATGCCCCCTAATGGAATAGCTTTGCTTTTTTTAAAAAAAATCCCAGGTTTGGATCTTCCCTGAAGGATCGTGTGTATACATTCCACCAGTGAGAATAGATGGGAGATAACCTGTGGTTCCTGGCAGCCCATCAGTCACCTGATTTCATGCCATAGTTGAACAAGGACCACCATTAATTACTAGTTAGATTGTTTCATACCTTGCTTTATTACATAGCAGACATCAGAGTAAGTTTTTAATAAAGCTGTTTTTCTCTGTTTTAATTGAGAAAAGGACAGCAGCAACGAAACATGTACCTAAAAATACCAGATCTCATCTTTAGCTCTGTCTTCCTGCGCTGGAGCTACCTCAGGCTTCTTGGAAGTGGAAGTGAAGTGGTGGTCACTGATAGCCAGTAAGGAGGCTGCTTCCCTGTGGGGCACATAGTCACCTCTCTCCCATGAGAAACCAGTTCGCCCTTAAAGCCCTTTGTGAGAAAGGTGTAGAGTTGGCCTGGGTGGACTGTTTGAGGATGGTAAGCCTGAAACGACCTATTAAAGGCTGAATCCTTCTGGAGGACTTCATTCCATGCTAAGGGACTTGGGATAGCACCAGTTTCCTGTGTATTGAAAAAGTCAGGGCACTGCCTGTGTCTCCCTAGAGGTATCCCCACATCGGATCCATCCTGTAGGCCTGAACAGATGCTCTGCCACATGGGCGTCATCAAATAGTTCTTAGGGAGTACTGTTTCCATGATCTTAAACATTAGGCTTAAGAATTGAGCACCTGTATGGCCTAAATCATGTTTTTAGACACTTACAAGATTGTTAATGTTTTCAAATTATTGCAAAGATCTTAGGGTCGTATAAATTTAACTGGTTTGGTATTTTCAACAGTAGCTCTGGACGGAGCCTGCATTTATTTGAGGGGAAATCGAAGCCCAGATTGTCTTTCATTTGTCCCATGAATAAAAGTTGCAAAGTGAGGAGCAGAAACCCACTGAGGAAATTTAGGGCCATTGTTAAAGTAAGAAAGGAGAAACAGGTGTGACTCTGAGCATTAGTTATTTCACTTAAGTCCTCACTGAACATCTACCTTGTAGAAGACCCAGTACAGAAAACGCAGAAAGAAACCAGGCTGCATTCTTTTCCTCCATGAAATTAGGATCTGGCAGAGAGAGAAGATGCTCACTAA